TCACATGGCTAATGCTGCTCATGCACTTTCTTTTGAAGGTCAAGGTTGAATGTATCTTGTTTCATGCACACTATTAATTTCTTTGATGATCATAAACTCTAAGCACAGGTACCATAATAATTATTTAATACAGAAGCTAGTGTGGGGGAACGGCTTAGACCTGAGAAATAGGAGAATAATTTATAGTTAATATTACCTGTGAAGAGTCCAAAAGCAATAAAAAAGATGTCTGATTATTTCATTTGGTACTCAATGCAGATACCCTGGTTTTAAGTTTTCCCTTCTACTTCAAGGGGACATTCCCCCTTCTTTTCTCCAGTGCTGGGAATGAACCCAGGGCCTCATACTTGTTTGTGCTCTACCACTGAGCTACATTCTCCAGTCCTTGACTTTTTAATTCTAGAAATTGAATTTTATTGGATGGATTTCACCACAAGAGCTCCTTCAGGGTCATTTAGAACTCAATCAGTACATGTTTAAGTGTTTGAGTTATCAGCTGAAAGGGGCTATGTAAATGTAAATTATTGTGTAGGCAAGATTTGGTTTCTTCCCCCCCCCCCATCTATTTTTTATTTTTTGCAGTACTGGGGATTGAACCCAGGAACTACATGCTCTCACTAAAGTAGCTAGGTTGCCCAGGCTAGGCCTGAACTTGTGATCCTCCTGCCTCAGCCTCCCAGAGTGCTAGGATTATAGGTGAGCATCACCATATCAGGCTTGGTATTTTCTACTTTAAAAATCCTTAGGGTATCTAATACAAGGCATGGGTGCAGGTACACATCAGTTCTGGCTCTTCTACTCACAGGAGATACAATGTTAATTTTCAGCATTTTGATTTGTTTTATTTACATATCATGCCCTTTGTATTTCACTTCCATACTTATTCCTTTTGTTTTGTAAGCTTAATAACATAGCTGGAAATATAGCTACCAAGCTCATTTCCCTTAATCTTTTAAGATTAACATCAGTGGATTCTGGTTAAACACAAGTACTGATCTGGTTTTATTTTTGTTACTTTGGCCATTTTCCTACCTAATCACAAAACCACTTGGTAAAACCAAAAAGCTATACCTCAGAGCCACAGGCCAGCACATGACAGACACAGGCTGGCATCTGGACTGGCTTGTGGGCACACTTGAGAGTCAGGACTGCTTTGCACCAGAGTCCTGACAATGAAACATCCCGGTGAGATGGTCAGAAGAGCGACTTACACATGAGAGCCTTGCATAGTCTGGGACACGCCATTTCCACCTTCTCTAAGAACTACACACCCTGTGTGCAGCCTGACGATGGTGGGCTGGATGCCAGGCTTGTCTTTCCTCGAGTCAGATAAGACATGGTGGCTGCTTTTGCACTATGAAGATTCATGCTTTCCGCCTCTGCTATTACAAAGAAATTTCTTAAAAACTGTCAGATAATACACAGATGTTGGTTTTTTCCCTGTAGGGCGGCACTCTGTATGGACCCCAGTATTATCACTGCAGGGGCACTGCCTCAGCAACTGTTCTCACGCTTCCTGCACAGAGGAGCCTAGAAAGTGAGGGGTACTTGCAACCACTACTTTCCTACAGTTGTTTCAGGATAACTTTTTATAAAATTTTAGAAGAACAGAAATAAATACAGCTTAAGATTTGAACCACATTCTGCTGTACTTTTTCTCATAAGCCTGAAATAGAATTTTCTAACACCTTTTGTAGTTGGATATTTTGAATTTAAATAGGACTGCAAATATAAACAAAAAGAGCAAGATGTGTGGATTGATGTGCCTATTTCGGTGAAATGCAGCCATATTATTTTTGAAATATGGACTCTAAAATAAAATGACAAGTAGAAAAAATATTGGAGATGTGCTCTGTAGTGACAATACACTTTAAATAATGCTAGTAGGTACTAATAAAAAGATCTGAAAATTTTATTTTGCGAGGGTCTTTTCAGGTCACCATTTTCTTATGTGTACACATTTAAGATATTTTATTATTAACTTAATTTATTTTTGGTGTTGAGGCTTGAACCCAGGTACTTATGCCTGCTAGCCAGGTACTCTACTGAGTTACACCCTAGACATATTTCTAATCTTACTGAAGTATTGGGGATCGAATCCAGGGGTGCTCTACAACTGAGTTACATCCTTAACTCTTTTTTGAGACAGGGTCTTACTAAGTCGTCCATGCTGGCCTAAAACTTCTGTGCCTCCTGCCTCAGCTTCCCAGGCAGCTGAGATTATAGGAGTGCACCACCAGTTCTGGTTCTATCTCTAATTTTACAAACCATATAAGATTATTACTGATACCAGTGGAATGACACAATTGTAAATATTTTTTATTTTTCCTTTTAATAAAGTACAAAGCTGAGAAATCAGATGAAATAGTTGAGTCTGAGCTCATGGCCAAGGAATTCATTATTTTATGGTTTGTTTAAAAAAAAAATTTCATCTACCTAATGTGTAGAGTTCTTTCAAGACAAAGGCTTCATTGAATGTAACTATTTTATACCTAAAATGTACCAATAAACTTAATGGGAACCCCCCGCACCCCCCCCAAAAAAACCCAAAGGCTTTATGTACCTCAGCATTACCACAGAGGTACCCATCTGATAATCAGTTGGTGAACTGTAACAGAATGGCACCTTCACTATCTGGATTCAGTATCAGAATCAGTGTAAATATGGTTAAATTAGGAACCAAGAGACTAACACAACAATTTTGTCATATGGAAATAAGAAATTATATTAGATGGGGCCGGGGATTTAGCTCAGTGGTTCTGCTGCCTGCCTCTCAAGTGCAAAGTCCCAAGATCAATCCCTGGTACCAAAAAAAATAAAAGAAGAAGAAAGTATTTAGATTAGATGGCTAAAATTAAGGTTTTTAAATTAAAAGATCTACTATCATCTTTTGTAAGGCAAACAATTTAAATAGTGATTGTTACTAGAAAAAAGCAAATTAATAAAAAATGAAGCTGGCATAATTTTACAGACATTTCATGGTTCAAATAATAAAACTAGATACAGTAGATTTATTATGTACTGCCAGAAAAATGAGGTCCATAATACCCTAACACAGTAGGCAAACTGGCTTTTTCTACCTATGTAGGATTCTGGAGATAGCTTAAGCATCTTATCCTCATTTGGATTCTGAGATATACACCAAAACACATTACCTAAGCAAGCCTATCATATGGCAGCAATTAAAAAGAGAGACATCGCTAAGAATTTACAAGGCCAAGTATGTTCTCATTTTATATCTTTACTGATTGATTTGGAAGAAATCTATGTAGGAAAGTACTGTGACTTTTTATTAGCTCTTTTAATCAACAGCTTTACTTCAAAGCCAACTACAACCCCCTCTCCACCCATGAATTTGGCTTTAGTCATATATGCTATTCATTTTTATAAAGAGTGTATCTAAGATTCTTTTCTTTATACCCTGTATGATTCAAGTCAATTCACCCCAAATAAGTGGATAAGTTACTGTGGTCATCTTGCATCATGGTCACAATATACACACAGATGGTATGACCTAATGCAGTACCCACAGCACTGAAAGAGTGACAAAGACAGGGCTAACATGGACACTCTAAGGCTGCTGGGAGGAAAACAATACTTTTCATAACAGCATTGTTTAATATAGTATTTAATTATGCACTTTATTGTAAATAAATTGGTTTTTAATAGCAGAGATGAAATACTGAGTTATATTAAAGTCATAAAATATGGGTAAGTTGTAGAAAACAGGTAGATGATAAAAATTACAGAATAAACAATGTAATTTAGTTATAAAATACTGCTACAAAAAGCTTTCTTTATGAAAAGTTCCTTCTGGTAAAGCACAGATTATACCATTATTCTATAGCTCGGTGGTCAGCAAACTTTGTCACAAAATAATTTGGACTCTGTAGATCATACAGTCTCGGTCACTCAATACTGCTCTTGAACCTTGAAAATAACCAAATATGGGACATAAACAAATGAGCATGGCTGTGTTCTAATAAAAATTTATAAAACCAGGTGGCAGGCTGGATTTGAAGTGAGCTAATCTCTTCTATCCAGCACTATCCAAAAGAAATTTATGTAATTAAAAATGTCTAGTATAGTCACATTAAAAAATGAAAACATGTAAACTTTAATGTTTTATTTAACCCAATATATCCAAAATGTCATTTGAACATGTAATCAATATAAAAACTATTGAGATACTTTAATTTCTTTTTGTATTAAATCTTTGTAAATATCATGTATTTTACCCATACAGCATATTAGTTGTATTTCTTTAGTGCTCAATAGTCACATGGCTATGGGTACCAAATTGGACCACATGTTCTAGACTTTTAAGGCTGGTATTTCTACAACTAATTTGGAGTTTAATGGCAGTGCCGAGATTTGGTTCTTGACAGATGAGGGGTATGATTATGTTGCCACAGGGGAGCACAGGACAAGGGATTACAGCAGTTGGGAAGAAATATCTTTTGACGTCAGGTTTTTTGAATTGGCAAGTGAAGCTAATATTGTCTGAGTGTATCACTGGTTGTGAATTTGTGCCTTAGAATCCTAGCCACCTCAGCTTGAAGTGATATTTGATATAAACTCTCAACATGATCAAAGGTATGAGGTCATTACTGTAAATCTTTTGGCATGCAGTAAAGAATGCTAATTATCAGTAGCACAGCTAGTCTTAGCACTTTGATTACATCAGAATTGAAAGCCATATAATATAAGCATGTGATTTGGAAGATAAAATGAAGAACTGTTTAGCAAGGAAAAGGTTTCGAACTTAGACTGAGTCTTTGAAACAGTTTAAAAAACTAAGTGCCCCTTCAATTATCTTTGTATAACATAGTCTAATACCAGTTGGCAATAGTTTAACGAGTTACCAGAGGGTAACTGCAAGCCTTCGTTTGATCCTTGAGAAGCTTTTAATTATTTAAATACAACTTTCTAAGTCATTGAATCAGCATTTCCAAGGTAAGAATGGACAAAACCTATTGTTAATAAAACTTAGAGGCAAGTGTTTTTAACAAAAAATTTATTACCAAAATACAATATTAAAGTCAATACATGACAAACTCCTGTAAAGCAAAATAAATTATTCTAACATTGTACAGTATTTCCAAAGGTAGTTAAAGAAGTGCTATAAACCTTGCTTCAGTGTCTGAACAGATAAACTGTTCTATCATGAACACAATTCTAGGGTTTCGGCTTTAAGGCATGCAGCTTGATGTGCAGGATAATTTTACAAAATGCAAATTATCCTATTTTAATAACATACAGTGTCAGAATTAACTGTAGTCTTTACATGTCAGTGTTGCAGAAATTTTTATACTTTGGCTATAGAAGCAATGCCATAGTGTTACACAATACTTATTTCTTAAAAAAATACATGTATTCATGTCCATGAATATCAAACTCAAATTTCTATTAAATATATTTTATAGAATATTACTTAGAGCACCTTGCTGTACAAAAAATGATTAAATAAGTATCTATGAAAACTAAAAATATATGTCTCAATAGAGAAGCCTGCTTGTCTTTGTCAAGCCAAGTACACTACAGGAAGATACAGTGTAAACATAGATGCTCACCATTTGCTTTGTGAGAACAAAACTGACAAAATAATTACAAAGCTACCAACAGTTACCCTGAATAGAATGAAAGATATGTCACAAAGGCTTCAGCCAGTGTCACTACACTGCACTCTCTAGCCACAGTTCTTAGTCTACTGATCAAATGGAATATAAGCATGGAACGGTTGGAACACTGGGGTCACCAATCATATTCTGGATTGTTAAGAGAAAGGGAGAAAATGATGAGCCCTAAAAAGTATTATTTATAACAATCAGGATGCATCATCTTCTCATTCTTACCTTTGCAGAATTCAGTAACTTTCTTTTAAAAACTATTTTCACTATCAAATCTTAGAAGTGAAAGTGTTCAGAGCAGAAAACAAATAGTATGAGCTTTCTGTGAGAAAGGGTCTAGTAGCAACTAATAAAGTGTAACTCCTATAAAGAGAATTCCTACTAATTATTTTAATAACTAATCTCTTCTATAATTACAATTGCATATTTAATCTTCATTATTACTTTTAAAAAATCAATTGTTCTTGGTAGAGACACTGCTTTAAGGCTTGCCACAAAATGTAATGGGAAAATACAGAATGTCCTTGGTACATGATTCCTCCTATTGCCCAGGAGAACATTTTAAGGATACACTAAAGCACTAAAGCCAGAATCAGATTAAACTTTGAACTTCTGGGTTATTTTTTCGCCGTTGGGTAGGAGAATTTTAAATTCATGATTCCGAATGGAAAATTTAAATAACAATAAATGGAAATGGTCTAAAGAAATTAAGAAAGGTAATTTAAAATGTCACACTGTTGAAATTTTTGATTATCAGTATTTTCCAAATGATTACATAAAATTGAAGCCAAGGAGAATTAAAAGCCAAGGTTGTTGCTTTTCAGAGTAACAGATTTTTATAAGGAAACAATGAATCATATTTACCGGCAATGAAAAACTGATGTACAATGTAGGTGCCAACAAAAGGAGGGATAAAAATGGAACTATTTAAGTATTTTATTTGAATTTAAAGTTAAATGTAAAGATTTCTTTCAATGCACATATAGTGGACTTGGGGAATATACTTTAGTATGTATAAATTTATTTTATCTTTTTAAAGACAATATATCAGAAATGGATTAACTTTTACAAATAAGTTAAACTACCTAAATCAAAACAGCTGCAAAGTTATAGTAATCTGCTTAAATATCATTATCAAAACGATACAAATTTTCTAAAAAATCAGAAAATGTTTCAAGATGCCTGGCCTCGCCTACATAGTTTGTAGTGCTATCTTTGAAATACTTCATTTAATTTATACCTGGACTTTGGGAACAAAATGCTTTCTTAAAACATGTCTACCCAATATTCTCTTCATGAAACTGCTTTTGACGTGCTAAATTTATCAGGGTCCCAGCCTCAACTCTAGATGTTAGAAGTCAATATTCAAAAATGTTCAGATATTCAGAAACAGCACCGTGAAAAAGGTGCAGTGAATGGTACATCAGCCTTTTGACTTGTGGGCAAAACTTACTTTAACAAAGCAATGCATAAATAAGTGATCAGAACAACAAAAACACCTTTTGAAATAGTTATAAAATGTATAATTAATAAGATTACAGGTATTTGAAGGGAAGTCTGAATGTAAAAGCACTTTTAGTTGGTTTCCATATGTCCTACCACCTTCTATCAGTGGAATTTTTTAGACAGAAATTCTAATCTTGCCAAATACTATTTGCTTATTAAGATTTGTATAAACAACCTGAACTTTTATTATATTTTAGTTACTTCTGGTTATTTCTCTTCTGCTAAATATAACTAGTAAACTCCAGGAAGGAAAATCTCAAAAGCAGTACTAATTTTAAGAGGCTTTTGAATTTCATCCCTTATCATACATTGGATTTTTTATCTTACAGTTCAAACTATTTCCAAAGCCTGATGATCAAATACAAATTTCTGTAGTTTGTTGCTTTAAGAGCCTCTGAGACGATAAGCAGGGGGTGGGGTGGTGGGGGTATGGTGTGTGCGTGTCTCACAGCAGGAAGAATTAGAAGGTCCATGTAACTATGGAGAAATGTGTTGTGTTCTTTCAAACACTGAAAAGAGCCTTTGAGAAGTACACTGTGCTCAAAATTTCTGTGAGCTTCAGATCTGGTTTCAGTCTGGTGGGAATGCACCTATTTCTTCCTATGCTCACAATTTCACTGTAAATTTAAGGCTACTGTTTACTTCTTGAATGTCTACATTCTGGATTTGATTTAGAGATCTCTATTTTAGGGAACAGAGGAACATATATTGACATTTAGTATTAAAAAATTTCTGTCAAGTTAGGGAAAGACTTAAGAAGATCACTTCAAACCCCTCTACCTATTTCCTTGTTGATTCTGTTGGTGACACCCAAAAGGCCCTTCCAGGAGCTGCCAGAAGACCTATCTGTTCTAGTGTTGGTATGGCAAAAGTGAGCATGAAGGGAACTAAGCTTAGCTTAAGATTGACACTTTTATAACAGTTCCTGAAAAGCCCTTTCTTAACTCTTGCTGCTTGCATTTCTAAAGGATAGTAAGCTTTTAATAATAAACATACTCAACACTAACAAGCAGTAACAGAGGGTTAATACAGAAGGTACATATTTACTTCCTCTTCAACCCATTTCCTTTTACTCAAAATATTTAAATTCCATTACTGCTTCTCCATTTGGAATTCATTTTGTTACATGACAAGTTGGTTTCAAAGTCACATCTGTCATTTCCTCAAAAGTCACACCTACTATTTCTTGTGTCTAGTAAGTTAGTTATTTGACAGCACAATGGTGAAACTGTGGTTTAAGGAAATCCTCTTCAAGTAATCAGTCTGGCTAATTGGTGTTTAGAGTCGTGTTATGGTCCTTACTTAGGATGATGTTTACAATTTCACCCTCATGCTCTTTCATATGATCCAAAAGATTTTCTTTGCTGGTTGACTCAAAACCACAAATGCAACAACAGAAGAGTAAAACGCAGTACTCCATCCCTGGAGGGACCAGACTGGAGTTTTTTTCTAAATTGTATGAGGTATTACTTGTAGGGCTCAGTTTCTCATTCTCGTGGGAATCTAAGACATCACCGGGTACCTGGGAAATCAGCTCTGAGGATGACACCAAATTTTCTGAACTTCCAGTGACAGGATCAGCTCTTTCTTCACTGCTGGTTAACAGAGTTTTTCCAGGTGATTTCCCCAGAACTCTTAAAAACAAAACCAAACCAAAACAAAACACACCAAACCATGAGTGGGCTATACTGTAGGACTGGCAGATTTAACCCTAACTTTAATTTATATATAGCAATAAAGGGAAGATTGAGGGTAGGATCAGATACCTGCCACTTTTTGAGATTGCATCATTAATAGCCTTGTTTACTTGTTCGTAGTTGTAATTTTGGTCACTTGCATGTTTCCACATATGAGACTTTAAAGAAGGAGGATGGCTGCACACATATCCACACAAGGAACATCTAGAAGGCAGGGATGAGTAGAATCAGAATAATCCTACAACATTTAAAAAATTATAATGATCCCGTAGTAATTATTACATTCCTTCTTCTGAAGCTTTGTTAGATATATTTCACTGACTTGATATCACAGAGTCTGAGAGACACTGATTTCAGAAGTCTCAGAACAGATGTACCAGAATCAATGAAAGAAGGCCTTTTATATTATTAAAAATTTATAGGAATCAAGACAAACATTACAGATTAGCAATTACAAGATCTGGAAAGATATTTAACAATAATACACAAAATCTTTGCTCTGAATTCTTTAACCACACACACAAAGAAAAACATAAAATTAATGCTCTATACCACTCCATTTCTTAATCAAGAAAGCAAAAAAGAAATGATTTTCAACACATACTTTGCACTTATTTACAGAGCTACAGAAAAGAAGTGGTTTTGAAAAAGTTTTTACAATTTCAATTTCACAAATAAAACAAGGTCTGAATCTTAACATCTTGCACTAGTGTGGTATATTTGTTTCAACTGATGGACCAGTATTGGTATTTATTATTAACTCTAGTCTGTAGTTTATTTTAGGGTTCACGGTTGTGCTGTACAATCCTATATATTTTGACAAATGTAGCATGTCACGAAATCACAACTATACTGTCACACTGAATAGTGCTTTACCTACTCATCACTTCTTCCTGCCCTTGAATTCCTGGCAGCCACCAGCAGGTGCTGGAACCATTGAGCTAAATTCCCGGTCCCCACTGGTCTTTTTATTATCTCTACGTTTTGCCTTTTCCTAAACATCATATCCTATAATTATAATCACAGGAATATGCATTAGGGTTTTTCTGAGGCTTTCAGTGGCTGATAACTGTATGTATAGATGTACCAGTTTCTTTATTTTTTTGCTACTAAGAGATATTGCAGTTGCTTCCAGTTTTTTTTGCAATTCCTGAGTAAAGCTACTACAAACATACATGTGTAACTTTTGTGTGAATAAAAGTTTTCATTATTTGGGTAAATAGCTTAGTGTACAATTGCCAACTGTATTGTAAAACTATGCCTATCTTTTTAGGAATCTACAAGTGTACTTTTTGTTAAATACTTACAAAGATATTTTTGTTAAATACTTAACAAATTGGATAACTCATCTGAACTCTTCCCTATACCAGTAAGAGACACAGTCAGCAAATCAAATGGCCTAAGAATAAATAAAATAAGGACTTCTACAAGGACTTCTAACACCACTTCTAACCCACACAATTTAAGTTTACAGCATGCAGCAATATTTTTTCATTACATGTCCTGAGGACTGGGTCCAAGGTGAAGGGTCTTTGACCTTAAGAAATACTGGCCCACTTCGTAGACAATTCTTGATAGACTGTCCAAGAAATATAAATAAAGAGATGTCTGATCTAACTAATAATCCAGGAAATATATTACACTCACACAACTAGCAAAGATGAGTAAGACTAGGGCTGGGGATTTAGCTCAGTGGTTTTGCCGCCTGCTGCGCAAGTGCAAGGACCCAAGTTCGATCCCCGGTACCAAAAAAAAAAAAAAAAAAGATGAGTAAGACTAGTCAGAGCAATGAGTCTTCACAAATGTTGAAAAGTAAATACACACTGCATGTATAAGTTTAAGGACTCTGAAGAGCAGTTTGGTACTATCTATTACGACCGAAGAAGCACAAACCTGAAACCCCACAAATCTAGTTCTAAGCATGTACTCTGAAGATATTCAAGACAAGAACACACACAGTTCAAAAATGACCGCTGTAGCCATGAATAGCAAAAAGAGGACGCAACCTACAACTGCTGTTCTTCCACAAGGATATGAAAACAAATTGGTTATTTTTATATCAATGAAACATTATAAAATAGTTAAAAAGAACTAGATATATACTTATAATCATGAACCAATGTCAGTAATGATCAGTGAACATGAAAAGCAACATTAAATATGTATGGTGTACAATTTAAATAAAAATTATTAAAATACCAAAAACTGTATACTGTATATGTATAATATACATATATACATCTTATATGTTGTATATACAAATATTATACAGTCATTTAAAAATGCCTGGATATGATACATTAATATCAAGACAATGGGTTACCTCTGAGAAGGAAGAGGTAAAGAATAGAGTAAGGATTTTAGTTTTATCTACAATGTTTTAATTTTTCAAAATGTTTGAAATGTTTCATTGACTTTACAGTTTGAGCTGTCTTTAATACTATAAGCAATTTTATACTTAGCATAACAAAGCAAAATGATCAGAGTTTGTTATTAGCCACACAAAAAAGATCTAACACTAATTCAAATTTACTTTGCCATTTATATCTGAAATACGCCAACTTTTCCACAAATCTCGCAAAACTTGTTTTTCACTAATATCTTTATCATGGCAATCACTCCTACTTTGAAGGCATTAAATCAGTGCCTGCATCTCTTACTCTACAGTACTGTTATTTTGTAGTGTGTATTGTAATGTGGTTACAGCATCCTCTTCAAGTACCTCTGGGATGACTCCATTGGAAAGAGTGACTTGCCTTATGCTACCAGGCAAGAGATGCCTATGCATTTCCACCTAGTATTTCAAGCAAGTACAATGCCTATGTATGTCTTATATGGAAATGTATAATATGAATACCTTCCTGTTCGTATTATGCAAAGGAGAAACGGACGTGAATCCTAGGTCTTCAGATTATTCACATATATTCAGACTGTTGCCCTGAAGCCTCTCTAGAAAATTCTTTATCCAGAATGAGGCATAGAATGCTGAATGTAGGAAAGGTCCCCTAAATGAAAAGGCAGTCTTATGTAACCAGAATTTCATACTTTGAGAAAACTGGGTCAGAAAAGAAACAGCAGAAATTACAAATTTATCCTACAGAACATCTCCAATGTTACTCAAACCTTGAAAAAATAAGTCATAAACTACTTATGTAACTGCTTTCCTTTTTTAAAATAAAAACTTTAAATTTTAGAACAGTTACAGATTTACAGAATATTTGAATTTCTTTTGTTAACATGCTGCATTCCTGTGGTACATCTGCCCCATATTAGGAACCACTGTTATTTTACAAACTCAAGTCCACACTTTATTCATTCAGATTTCCTTAGCTTTTACCTAATGTCCCTCTTTTGTTCCAGAGTCCCATCTAGGACCCTGCATTAGATTTAGCTGGCCTGTGTCCTTACCACCTTCTAGACTGCCACGGTTTTTCAGACTTGCCCTTGTTTCTAATGACCTTGACAGATATGAGGAACACCAATCAGGCACTTTGTAGGACACCCCTCAATCTAAGGCTATCTGAAGTTTTTCTCATGGTGAGACTGGGGTTCTGGGTTCTTGGGACAAAGACCTCATCATAACACAAGATCAGTGTGACTCACTGCTGTTGATACTGATCTTGACCACCTGGCGAAGGTCAGGTTCCTCCACAGAACAGTGACTCTTATCATCCCTCTTTCCACACTGTATATACTGTACTTCAGAAGTATGTCACTATGTGCAGCTCATATTTAAAGAATGGGAATATAATTCATCTTTTTGAGGGTAGAATAGCTATATTATTTGGGATTCTTCTACACAGGTTGTCTATTTTTGCTCATTCCTTTACTCAATCACTTATTTACATCAGTATAGACATGCAGCTAATTAATCATACTTTGGGATCCATTTCAAAAGTACACTGCACAGATTATTCTAGCTTTGACCACTGGGGACTCTCTTGGTTAGCTTCTTTGTCATGGTGATATACCCATCTTTCTTGCTGAACAAGGGTCTCCTGTGTTACCTGTTGGTCCGACAAGATGCTCCAGGATTACTTTGCATATCCTCTGCCCTTGTCCTAGGTTCTGTCAATCATTTCTATACTTTTGTTTATTAGGGCATTGTATTAGAAACCAAGATTTGGGTGCCAGGTGATTGCTTTAATTTTGTAAATTACTTTTTCCTGATTTCAAGGATTCATTGCAGAAAATTAGGAAAAAATAAAAAAACATAACTTTATCAATTAACACAAACATTGGGCAAAAGTAAAATATATACATTAATAGCATTGGAAAAATAAAATACTACTACTACTACTACTACTAATAAGCTAACCTAAGAATGAATGTGTGTATATGTAGATAGTCATAACATTGTGTAGTTCTAATGTATATCAATTTCAGTTACTATGGCTTAGTTAAACATTACAAGTCTCCCAATAGCATAGTTCACGTATCAGTTACTAACAAGTGTAGGTATACTAATTGTAGAGTTTAATTTTCAGGGAATTAAACAAGTGGATCATAATGAGTGACCAATCACATGGGTCCTTTCAAAGTCTGTGAGCCACTGATCACTGCTTCCATTCAATTCACTCACAAGCAGCAAATCGTGTAACTCTGTTACATCGCTGTCTCCCAGTGATAAACTCAAACAGTAGTTTACAAAAATGGATAATCAAAATAGGGACTATGGAAGTGCAGTAAAAAATTCAAAGTGTTAACCCTGGAACTGAAATTAGAACAAAGGCAAATGGAGTTAGAACAGACAGCTGACCACAGGAATGTTGACACTGCTGCTTCTGAAGAAACTTTGGAGATGCAGCCAGAGGATTTTAGGAAAGGTGATCTTAATGACATAAATGAGGAATGGCACTTCTACAGGAAGGGATGTTGGCAAAAATTTCACATTAAAAGAACTGTTGTAGAAATTTCATGATACTGAAAATGCCAAGAATAAAACGTTGAAAGCTGATCCATACTTAGGACAACTGACAATTTGCCAAGGCATAAAAAAGATGTTCACTTCCTATTTTAAGGGCTATCATAGGAAGAAGGTAAGCACTATTCAATTATTCTTAATAGTTTTTTTTATACAGAGATAACACATTTTAACCTTCAAAATTTCTAAGTTTTTAAGTTACAGCATGCCATGGTCTGAATCTATGTAGCTCCCCAAATTCGTTTGTTGACACCTAACCCCAAGGTGACAGTATGGAAAG